TACCACCAGCACGTTAATCATTTAAGGGACAAATCCTGATCTGAACACTTAGTGTTATCTTCTGATTTCAGGGAGGGTGTCAGCAACGGACTGAAGCAACAGCTGCGAATTACGCAAGAGATAATTGACCACACCGTACTTTGTTATGACGGCAGACTTGATTCTCTGCTGCCTGACATCCAGAGTAGCTATTTGCTACTTAGGTGCCAGGAGTGCAATGTGGGTGCAACTCAACATTATGAGGTTGATTACAGAGATCACACTTGGTGGACTAGCTATGAAGGAACTTACTGTACACAGCAACATGTGAATTACACCTACTGCCAAAAGTGCTCGATCCTCCAGGATGAAAGACATCACATTAACACAATGCAGCGTACAGCAAAAGCTAAACCACGTGCCTAATCCTATTCCTAATTGTTAACGCTTCCAAGACAGAACAATCTGGAGCCTTGAGTACAGCATGTAGAGTCTCTCACCACCACCTTCACGAAACAGAAGATTGATTGAGAAGGTTTCTTAGCTAGAACCATTACATTCAGGCATTACACCCATTTTTCACTTTGCTAATCCTTCCTTCCCTCTCCTGCTTACCCAAGGCACAAGCCATACTGGGAGAGAACCAGAGGCCAACTCCATCCAACACTTTCAATTTATCCCAGCCTTAAGATGGCATTTGGACCAAATCTGATGCTGATACATGTGCTGTACAGCCAGAAGATATTCCAGGAGACTTGGATTTTGTTGAAGCCGCTATCCTATTTTCAGTCAATTCCCTAAGGGCGATTTCAAAGCCACTGGACTACCATTTTGGGGCAATATCCATAATTAGAAAGTCCCCTTAACGTTAAAATGGGAGGATGTGCCACAAAAATGTTTTTCTTAAACTTTTGGGCTACATAACAGATTACATCAACAGTACTTGGGCAACACTGTAAAACTAGCACACACCTCAAAGCAAGACGGGACACAGAACATTCTACAGAATGTATAAAACCAAACTCAAACAGCATGAAAAAAAGCAATGTTTATTTCTGTTATTTACAAAAGCATGAACACCTTATGCAAAAGCAGCATCCTGAACCATACATTTCCCTCATCCTCCTGGGATATTGGCAGAAAGCAAGCATTTTCTCTGTTCTTTAGGGTTAAACGTACTCTGCTGAGGTAAATGGGAACCACCCCACTGATTTCCACAGAGCTCCGACTGCTTACGTTAGCAGAGAGACCAACTCACGAGTCCACAACACAATGAGATGTCATACGGGTGACTCGCTTTAGGTGCCAAATTGGACTAGTCTGTGCTTCTAACCAGGGTAAATAGACTATCCAGATACTTAATAAGCTCCCCATTCTCTTCAATTTTAACTGAAACTGATCTAATTTTAAATACCTGTTTAAACATTGACTCTCATCCCACACTAACTTCATGCAAGGTTTAACTTTATGCATCATGAACAATCTTACTCAAGTTTTTAAGAGACAGCAAGTGTGCTTATAAGCTATTTTACCATGAACAATCTTACTCAAGTTTTTAAGAGAGACAGCAAGTGTGCTTATAAGCTATTTTAGGAGCAAGACCTTCCAGCACAATAGCTATCTACTCCTTTCTTACCTGCCTCCCCAGCACATGAGTTAAGTGCTTACTGTGAAGAAATGTGCCCTAAGGTTAACCTGGAAAAAAAAATGTGCAGCATTTTTATTTTGCTTTCATCTTTTTCTCCTGATCTGGAGCTGGAAGCAGTATAATGGTCATACTATCAAATAGGCCATGCTTTTGAACTTAGAGAAACATTTATTTATCTATTTATTAAAAAAGCGTTTTGTTAAACAGAGAATTTGATTGCAATGACTTCAAAGACTTACCTGGTGCAAGTTACTCATACTGTTTCCTAAAATGATCCCTACCATAAAACATCGTAATTCCTCAGCTCCTGTGAGTTGAGGTCCTTCCCCTCAGAATCTACAACTGACGCCTGAACATATTTATTACACTGGGAGAAACGGCTCTGGCTTGTCTGCCATCCTATGTCTAAAACAACTGACAAACACTATTTATGTCTGTAAGACTGATACTGGATCTATGGATCAATGAAAACTGCTTCATTTTACTGCTTGAGCTGTAGGAACTGTTCTATTAGCTCCTGCCAACTTCATATTAAAGAAATATAATTTACTTCACATATTGAAAGAACCTGCTAAGAACCCATACACACACACACACACACACTATGTATGTGTACACATATATATGCACACACATGTATAGATAATTTGTTTTTATTTTACACTGACAAAGTGCTAAAAGAATCCAACAACTCTCACTGCTAGAGATGAGGCTAAATAAAATGGTGTTATAAGTATATGGCATCAAATAATTATGAGACTCTGGTCCAAGAGCTTTAGAACTGTTAGCAAAAAAGTATCTTTTATTGGCAAAAAAGAAAAGTTCCAAATGGTTTGAATTTCACTTTTAAATAAATTGGAAGCATTTAGAAAAAAACCTCTAAAAAATACCATGCAAAGTAGATTTTATAATTTATATTTCAGTTCTGTGTATAGCAAACACACACATTTATACATATATTCTATTACTTTCATGGCAAAATTCTGAGGTGCCTTGGACTCAATGATTACTTAAATGAACCTGGCAGTATCTCACATGTGCATCATTGCCTCAAATTTTGAAAAAGAAAAAGCTGTACAAGTTCAGCCCTGTATTCTGTGAGTCTGGCTGCATAGTCAGAAACAGAAGTATTGCACTCAAGACCATGCCTACAAAAATGCACATTTAATAAGGCCATTATATTAAAGATCATAATGGGACTCAAGTCACATGACAATCTGATATATCATAAATAGACCTAGGAAAGCCATATTGCAGAAGATGGACCAGAACAGCAGCGTTCCAGCAATTTAATAACTATTCTTTTTTCCATGAAATGCCAATCTCTCAAACTGGTTTTACCCCCAGGGCCAGACAAGACGTGTACGTATGCATGCATGCATTCTCACAATGCGTTGTTTCATTTTTTCTTAGAAGTAACCAAATGCCCCAGAGTTTGAGGGCAGGATTCTACTCAAGTTCTGCCAACGAGGTTCAGCTTGTTACCAACTTTAAGTAGCTTCCATGCATGATGACGGGAGAGAAGATTTGATTTTCAGTTATTTAAATATTTGCCAACATGCAAGACATAATTCTCACTTTACAAAGTGCAGCAGAGACATAACTGAACCTGTACTGGAATACTTCTCAGTATGCTCTTTCCGAGCTAGATCACATTAAGAGTATCAGTTTATCTGATCTGGCTTACCGAAAGACAGAGCAAACAAACAATTTAACACAATACAAGGAATGATACAGATTTCCAAGTTAGCTGCCCACATCCCATGGCAAATAGAAAGAAGCTACCCTTTAAACAAAGTGGGGTAAGCTACCTTGAATTTACAGTAGGGTAAGTGTATTCGCACCAGCCATTACCTTGGAGTAGCAGGCGTGCTGTAAATCTGCCAGCTTGCTTTGTAGTTGTTTGCTCCTTTAGCCATTCCAAAGTTACCCAGTCAGCCAACATTTTGGCTTAGTAGTGGCATTTGTCCAGGAAGGGACATGGCATGTCCCTCTTCCCATGCCACACTACATAAATAAAGAGCTATGCAAATGCAAAAAGCATGAGTACAAAGGCTGGAAGAACCACAAGACACAGCAGATAGGAAACTCAATGAGCACAGGCATTACAGTTCAGCAGAGACATTTATCACAATCTTACATTCTGCCATAAAATCCACAGTGGTGGAGCTTATGGATGAACTACTTTCCAGCTGAATCAACTCCCGCATTAGGAATTATTTCTGAATACAACAGACTAATCCAACCCTTTCTTTCCTAGGACCTGTTTTTTGGGTTTAGAGAGTTTTTAGTACAGAGACAAGAGACAAACCTGAGACACAGAAGATGTGACCTGTTTGCATATTATGAACAGACAAATGGAAAATCAAGATGCAGAAATTATTAAATGTCTCACACACTTTACACCTACAGGTCCATGTACTTTTTTTTTCCTGGTGTCATTGCCGGATATAAGTTTGTCACTAACTATGAATATGTTTTTGACCAGAGCTGGGAGGAATGCATTTAAACAGCAACAACACAGCTCTTGCAGTGATGAACAAGGAACATGGGAGTTCAGGATACAGTTTCTAATTCCAACCCTGTCTTACACTTGTTGCATGCTGAGCAGCTCAACACACCTCTCTGTAATTATTTGGAAGGAGAATAACTCTTTCCATAATTTCTTCACAGAAGGAGCAGTAAGTAGTCCATTAATGTATCATGTAAGATGAAAAAGCATCTAAAAGGCTTCTACTTATTTTAGCAGTTTTGACTAAAAAAAATGATTGGCAGAATCACTTTGTCAGGTTGAAAAGAGCCGAGAATATTTTGGGAACAGAGTTTCAGAAGCCCATCTCAGACATTCACATTACTATGGTGGACTGACTACTAGCAATACTTTGTCCGCAAGCATCTAAACAAACAGAGTTTTGACGGGTATCAAGCAGCTGCAGCATTTTCAACATTTTATGATTACTGTATTTAGTACTTTTCAACTGAATTCTCTCTCCCAACGAAGTGACTGTCTTGTAGTTAGCATGACTACCCATAAACACAGCATTTCTAAATGGAATTACATATTATTGTTTTCTCTCCACCATAGTATCTATCTATATTTTCAGTATCAGTCAGCACCACAGGTTTAATGTAGGTTATGGACAACAAGCAGCAGACCTACTTTTACTGCACTATTTCATATTTATACATTCTTAAAATGTTTTTCTTCACTTAGCTATACTAGAAATACCACTCCAAAATTTAAGTTTACACTGAAAAAGGTTATTGATGACTTGACCAAAAAACACCACCCAAAATCCCTTTTACTCCCACAGGAAATCAAATTTTCTCCTGAATTAGTGTTAACAGATATTTATATTAGAGGACTCCATACTTCAGAAACCAGTTATTTAATGCTCAATATTCTTTCCAGCAGATGAAGAGGTAGGTATATTTCCACACAAGAAAAAAAAACAAACCTGTAACAGACACTCATTTAAATCAAGTAATGTCTGAAAAGTCAAACACTGTTCTGACAGCACATAAACATAATGTGTCTGAAGATACTCTCCAAGGAGGACAAGAAAAGTTGCGCATTCTGATTAGATAATACATAATAATTTGAAATTTAATAATTTTCTGGAAAGAAAACAAACGTATCCAAACGCTACTTCCTTCCCCTCCCTCCCCCAAAGAAATGTGGGTGCCAACAAAACTGCCTGTATCAATGGTAATATTAACTTTTGGACTGCTAAACATGGAATCAACTGCAATTCTTCCTTACATTTACCCACACCAGCAGTCTACAAGTTTACACAGAGACCATTTGCATGATAATTACATAATTACATAATAGAAATTCAACTTTAGTGTTGTTCTTAAAACAATCTTCATAAATAATGAAAATATCTGTGTTCTAGCTCTTCAGTAACCTAAGGTTAATTGGTACAGATAGTGTTTTTCTCTTCCTTTTATAAACCAAACTGGAGGTTCCTCACTGACAACAATGGTTAAGGCCTGGATCAAGTTATTCTCCTTTTGCTTTTCCCTTTTTCTGCTTTTTTCCATTTTCCACCACTGCATTATTTTCTGGTTTGCTTACTCCATTTGCAACAGCACCATTTGCTACTTTGCCATTCTTCACAGGTTCCTTGGGCAGCTTATATGTCCGATAGTAAAAGTTACCAAACAGGAAAATGAAGGTGACAGCATAGAAAATGACACCCCAGTGCATCCATTTAGGGAAAGGGCAATCAATATAAATAGACAAGGCTGTGTGGCCAATGGTCACGTGGAACTGCACCTGAAAGACAGAAAATACACAATCTAAAAGGTCTGGATATATTCTGTAGGTCTGACTGCACCAATGACGCATTAAGTTATGAAAACTGCTAAACTGGGAGGTGGTAGGGAAGCTGTATTTGGCTGTCATGTCACGCATGCACACATGTGGTTGACAAGGGACATCAAATTTACTGCAGTACCTGGCACCAGTTTTCAGAAATAGGCAAATGAGAAGACATTAAGAGATCTGGATTTTGTCTACCTTTTGAACAGGTTTTTGTAATTCAGTTGAAACAATCAGTAAAGTAGTATTTGACTTTACTCACATAACTCTTACCTATGTTGCAAATTTTTTGAGAAATTAAATAAATACTTCCATCTCCAGGAAGTATTCTAACTCAAGCTGTGAGTATCAGACAGCTAAGAGCTTTTGGAAGGAGCAGCATCTGTTCCAAAGCTCTGCAAACGCAAATCCACTCAGAGGCAATACTTTCTGAGATAAAGGGAGAAATTTTACTTACCAATTGCAATATGGTCAAGTATCGTTTCCACCACAGGTATTTCTGAAATTTAGGGCCACAGGCAGCTAATCCATAATACATGTACATAATGACATGAATAAATGCATTCATCTGAGCTCCAAAAAAAGCTGTTCAGGAACAGAAGGGAAGATTGTCATGTCATTTGGGGCGGGGGGGGGGGAGAAGAGGGGGGAAAAAAAAAAGAAGTCTTTCCTAGTATTATTCATGTGATAGTAAAAATTATAAAGCACAGGACATGTCAGGATTCCATCTCTGAAATATTCAATAGTATAGTATAGACCTGACTGCCAACATGTGCTGACACAAATAGCTGTTCATGCAAGTAGTATGTCACATCTTTCATGGAACCACTTATGCAAAAGCTTTTCTTAAGATTTTTGTTGAACAGACATAAATTACATGGATTCCACATTAGTTACTGTAGTAGAACTGCAATTGTTTTGCTAAAGAATTATTAAAAGCTGTATTTGACAATGTAAAGTACAAAGTATCAGGTTCTGAACTTGAATCTTTTAAACTGTATCTAAATGCACAAAGCTCACTGCTCAGCAAAAGGTCAAGAAACTCATGTGGAAGTCTGATTAAACAGGCCAAAAACTCATACAAAGCAAAACTTAACTCGTGGCCATAAGACGTTTAAGGGCATTGCTAAGTGAGTTTGCCTAAACTCTACATCTTTAGTTTCCTTATTTATGACTTAAAATATCCAGCATTCTTAAATATATAAATGTATAGTATAACTTTTTCCAGAATGATCCATGCTGGAAACAAAGATGACAGTTCTCATTTGCATTAAGATCTCTTTGCTCTGTCAAGATTAGCAGCCATTTAACAGAAACAAATTATATCCTGTTAAGGTATTCTTACACTGCCAGAGAGGCTCAAAAAGGCTCCAATGCATAAGATTAGGGCAATACAGACAATAGCTGCTGACATCAAACAGCTCAGATGCCCATGTGGTCTAGACCCAGTTAGTCATAATAGGGTCTCGTTTACAATAGATCTGTCTATGTAAGCAACGTGCTATCAACTAGAAAACAGAAGAACATAGATCTGTCCACATTTATGCAGTAGGCTACATAAATGCAGAAGAGCAACTGTTGCTTTTCCTTTCGCAGGGGCTGGGTACTAAGAGGCAGTGCAAGAACACAAAACGTGAAATTAATTTGAAAATAGTTGCAACTGTTGTATTGAAAACTGCTGACATTTAGCATGAAAAGTCTGAAAAGACGACAAGGTAGAGGGCATTTTTGAGATATCCAGGGAATTTCTAAGTAAGACTACAAGTAAGCATCCAATCTCCAACAAACTTACTTTATGGGTGCAGTAGCCAAAAAAAGATCATGAAATGTCTGGTTGAGTACCTGCATCCTGCAGATTACTTGGGATAAATTCAAGGATAGCCACAGATACCCATTTTAAATATTTCTTCTTTTGAATATAAGTAACCACTCAGTACAAGATATCTATAGTAAATGAGAGCATAAAACCCCCATGCATTAAGTATTAGTGTTGTTTGACAAAAAAAAAAAAACAAAAACCCACCAAACCCAAAATATTAGTTTGGTGTGGCATTTACTATATGTTATTTCCAGTGCCTTAAGCCTACAAAGCACATTACAACAAACAAAACGGGGTATTTTCCCTGACCCCTCAGCTCGGTAGAGCTTATAATTTGAGAGAGAAGGCAAAACAGCATGATCAAGGTAGAATGCAGGCAAAGGAAGATGTGGTAAATACAATGGAGTAAAATTCTTTGACGGGGGCTTTAGAAAGGAAGCAACAACAACAAAAAAAGACTGGTAATGAATTACAGACTTGTGTTATTATGAACGGGTTTTAAAAGTTAATTGGCAGACTTATTGGCTCACCTTCAAGGAAGCTTTCAGAATTTTATACGTGCCTCTTTATAAAAAAAGAAAGCAAACCCCAAACTCAGATACAATGCCAAAATAATGTCTCCATTAACTTTCTTACATTTGCACACAGAAAGTGGGCTGTAATTAGATTTTGCAGTTCTCTATATCTGCAAAAATTAAAGTTAGGCAAGACACATTCCTCTTCCTATTTCATACAGAACAAGGATCATTTTGAAGACAGAACTTCAGGCTTGCAATTGATGCCCTTAAGTTGAAAAAAAAAAACTTTGCAATTTACTAGATTATTGCCCTGTTATCTTTTCCTCCCCTACATTTCCCACAGAGGAAGACTGCATGTGTTACAGCTATTGCGCTGCTTCAGTGCTATTTAAATAGTCTTGTATTTTATAATGTTAAGTCTATGAAAACTTTTTTCTATTGCTCCCAAACAATAATAATTCTCCCTTGTGTCCAGTCAAAATGGTATGGGAGGAAGGGAACTCACCTTGTCCACCTGCAACCCACTTAATACCAATCCACCACAAGGTGAACATGGTGAAATGGTGATAGACATGAAGGAAACTAATTTGGTTAAATTTCTTCCTCAGGATGAAGAATACTGTATCCAAATATTCAATTCCTTTAGAGACATAATACCACCATAAAGCAGCAGCTATCTGCAATGAAAAAAAGACAACACAGAAGTTTTAGTGATTCCAAACTGAACAGAATAAAATTCCCTGCACCCATCTGTTGCAAGAGAAAGATACCCCTTCCTTCCCCAAATCCTGGTAAACATTGAGGTAGAGTCAAACATCTGACAGTACGAGAACAACAATGAAACCAACCCTCCATTCATCTATTCTGGACACGGAAGTATTACTCTGAGTCTACTGCTCACAAATCACAACCGTAAAAAAGAGCTAACAACTAAAAAATTTGCAATCTCTGAACAGTTTACCAGTTAAACATAGGGAGTTGGTGTCCTCATTCTCTACCCTAAGCTTTGTGGGAGAAGATTACCACAGGGCTTCCTGTACTAACGAGGCAACACTTTGATGTGGTCAGAACAAGGAGGCAGAAACATTATGGTAAAACAAAGTTGCAAAGGTTGAAACCTTATATAAAATTCTTTTGGTACCACAGGCATATGGGTGGGAAGATAGCAAATCACTCCTACGAGCTAGGTGTGGTAGAGATTTCACATTCCTTAGAGCAATATTACCCTCAGCTTCTTCTGGCCTGCTCAGTAACCCCCTCTGGAAAGCAGCATTCACCCAGTTGTTCTGTGCCATTCAGGGAATGTAAGAAATGAGACCACAGGATCCATACAAGCTGCAGAGATAGAACCCATCTACCCAACAGGGCAGCCCTACACACTCAAAATTCTTTTTCTAATCCACCCATCACAG